CAGCGGCCGTCACCGCAATAATTGGACTGGGTATCACCCAGGACAACCATATGTTAGCATTTGTTTCACTAAATGATCCTAAGTGATCTGAGCCATCGTATTTATAGGCCAACACCTCGCGCGACAGGTGGTGCGGTGTGTCGCACAATGGGTCGTAGCCTTGTACGATCGGTTATAGTAGTCGTACAACGGGTCGCTAGGTCGCGCGACATATGGCGCTACAAAACGCATCATCGTTCAACCGTTGCAGCCATTGTACGACTGTTGCACCCGGAAACATGAAAATAATCGCAAGATTACGTCTCACGACTGTTGTATCCTGGTGCAGTGGTTGTTCACCTCTTGTACGATTTTATATATTGCTTGCGACTCAAAGACAACACTTCTACAACAGGACGGATAAAATATTTTCGAAAAAAAAAATTATCGCATGAGTGAGGCGCCAATTGTGAAAGGGGATTTAAGGAGAAGGTAATCATGAATTTCTGAAATTTTTGATAAATTTGGCCACATTCAGTGACTGGGTGAAGTGTCATCCAAGCTACATGTGTACCAAGTATCAAAGAATTTGGACTACTGGTTTTGAAGAACAAGTCAAAAGTACTATTTTTGATGAAAAATGACAAAATATTTGCTAAAAATAGAGAATTGAAGATGTCAACACAAAATGAACAAATAGAGGTCCATCCAACGTATATACTATGTTGGTTTGAGAGCAATCGAACTACCAGTTTCGGAGGAGAAGTCGAAAATAGCATTTTTGACTAAAAATGAAAAAAAATATTCGTTAAAAATAGAAAATTGAAGATATGGACATGAAATGAACAAATCTGATAGAGGTCCACCCAAGGTATATACCACGCGAATTTGAGTGCAATCGGACCATCAGTTTCAGAGAAGAAGTCGAAAAATGACCATTTTAAAATATTCGCCAAAATTAGGAAATTGAAAATTTCCTTACCAAATTAACAAAACTGATAGAGGACAACCCAAGGCACTATCAATATCAGCACTGTAGACCACTTAGTGTCATAGTAGCATAGAAGAAATTTTAGAGTTTTGAGGGGCTAATTTGCATAATTTTTGGCAGATTGACTTTTCATGAACAAATTACCATCTACACACGCCAAAAATCGAGTCAAACGTTTCGTCGGTTTTTGAGAAGAAGTCGTGTACAGACAGATAGATAGACGGATGACAGACGCAGGACAGACGCAGGACAGAAACCCATCGCATAGGCTCAGCGGTCCTATGGTTCGTTGAGCCAAAACCAGTACAAGTTGCAAAGAACAGATGACGAATTATAGTGTCCATTGTTAGAAACACCATAGTTACAAAGATGAGGCGACGGTGGACAAGATGACAGGAGAGAATGAAAAAAACTATTTGATTTTGTAAAAACTAGTTTTGTGGCTCTCGCGCTCAATCTTGGCAGCCATTAGCATTGTGAGTGGAAAAACAAACAGACTTACTTTCTCATCCAAGATCTGCATCATTTTTTTCTTCTCATCTTGATACTTGTTTAGTTCTTTGTTTAGTTCATCTATTTTGGTAAGCAGCATATCTCGGTGTCTTTTATCATCCTTCATCTGTTTCTGTATTGTTGCGTTCATTGTCTGAGCCGCTAACACTAGATAACATAATTCAGTGAATGTTTGAAGTCACATTAGTATTACAGAAGCGCCCTCTATTTAAACAGAAGTTTTGAAAGAAACCACCACTAGAGGGCACTAAAAATGTTTTACTTCACTAAATGAATTTGTGCATCCCAAAACCAAACTAATAATGACAAGACTGGCCTGTTGCCATAATGTTGTTTTCAATCACATCATTGAACATTCTGCGAGTATAATAAATTAATGGTGACACCTGGAGTACCGTTATTTTGAGGAAAAATGTTCACAAGTTTTCACCAGACCTTTTAACACTTTGAGCAGGATCATCAACTTTTGGTGATATTTACAAAATGATTTTGTCTGTTCTTCCTCAAATGAAATGTTGATAAAAATTCACAAACATTTTGATCAAAAAATAAAAGCAACATCTGAAACTGTCTGTATAATCCAAAATGCTGATGAAATTTACTGAATATTATATACAAAAAGTGAAAATATTTGG